GGGGCATTTGTGGGGCTCCGCGGGCCCCGCTCCAGCAGCTCCCTGCCTCTGCTGTGCTGAGGACTCCAGAGCTGCCCCAGCACTGCAGGGGGGTCTCCTGCCCAGCTCCTCACCCCCAGCACCCCCAGATCTTTCTCCACAGGGCTGATCTCCATCCCTGCACCCCCAGACTGTGCTGATCACCAGTTTGTCCCTACCCAGGTGCAGGACCTTGGTGAACCTCGTGAGGTTCACATGAACCCACTTCTCATCTTGTCCAGCCATAGGCAGACTTCACAGTCCCTCAGTCCCAGTTTTCTTCTCCAAAGAGGCACTGAGCTGAGCATCTCTGTGTCATATCCTCCAGCAGCTCCTCATACTGTGCCAGGATGGTGTAAAAAAGGCATTTCAGGGTGATGGTCAGCTCAGAGCTGAAGCTGTGTCCTGTGGATCACCTCCTTGCACCAACATGTCCATTGAAAGACCCGTGATGCCTTGGCAGGAGGAGATCTTGGAGGATTTCCTGTGCTGTGCTCAGGGATTTCGTGCCACCCACAGCTCCCAACGCTCAGTGATGCTCCACAGGAGAGAAGGAATCGTGTCCTTAGCAAGAAACCCCAGTAACACCAGTGTGAGGGCTTGGAAATCACCAGTCCTCTTGCTGGGACACTTGCCTCCTGCTTCCTGGGCCCATCCCCACCCTCCAGATTTTTTTTTCAGCAGCAGGTTTCCCATGGGGGTGTGTGGACTGAGGAAAGTCATTTCCTGCCTCCTACAAGATTTAAGACTTGCTCCTTCTGTGGCACGAGGGTGGCTGGAGGAGGTCAGCCCAGAGGCCAGTCCAGCCCAGATCCTGTCTCCAGCAGTGACCCGAGGAAGTGTATGAGAATAGGACAGGTTCAGGGAGATCTTCCCATGCTTGCACCTCCCCACCCTCTGAAGGCTTGCAGATTAGGGACTTTCTGAGCCAGCAGCTGCACCCATGTTCTTGAGGTTAACAGCCTGTGCTGCTGCTTTTTTTTACCTTCTGCTAGTCATGGTGGGACATGGTTGAGGGTCCCAGTGGAGCAGTGCTCTGGGACAGACCCCTCCACTCTGAGAGCAGGAGCCTCATCCTACAGGATGCACTACCAAGGCCAAGCTCACCTGGTTTCCCTGGGATCTTGGCCTGTGTAGGAAGGCAGGAACACATCTGTGGTCCAAAAAAATCCCCCAGCAACCCACACTGAGTAAACCCTGGGTGACTTGACAGTGAGTGTGTGCAGAGCCAGGGGAGCTGCTGCTCATCCCTCACACTGAGATCCTGCTAGAGGTGAAACCCATCAGGAGGGGTGGCAGGGGCAGCACCGACGTGCTCTGTGGGAGGAGGTGATGGGAGGTGTGTTGGGTTCACGCTGGTGGCTGGAGGAATGGGGGGACCTCTTTGCAAAGCCCTCATCCAGGGCTCTGTGTACCCTGGTTGTTTTTTTCTCTGCCTGCTCGTGGGGAAATGAGGCTCAGCCATGGTCTGCTCTGGCTTCTCCGTGGTGCTTCTGCTGGGTTTGGAAGCTGCTCTGGGTGCTCAGTTGGCTTCATTTCCATGCCCAGCAGGGGGACAGTCCTTGATCTCACACATACTCATCTCTCTGCCCTGTGGGAGGGGTCTCTGAGGCTTCAGACCCCCCAGATGCAAGGCTGAACTGGGTCACCCACTCTTATCCCTCCCACCAAGGAGCATCAAGGTCATGTTGGATAAGGCTCTGAGCAACCTGCTCTAGTTGCAGATATCCCTGGGGGTTGGACTAGGTGGGTTTTAAAGGTCTCTTCCAACCCAGAGCATTGTGTGATCCTCTCAGCCTTTCACAGAACTGTCCTCTGATCGTTTTTGTGGCCCTCCTCTGGACCTGCTCCCTCAGGTCCCTCCAGCCTTGCAGCAGTGATATCAGCTGCATCTGGAATCCAGACAGAGCAACGTTATCTGCAGAGCCAGCAGCTCACGGGGCTGAACTTCATGTTTCCACCTTTCTTCCTGGAAGACCTGGCTGAGGAAGGGGAAAAGGTGCCTGTGCCTGGCTCTTCCCCTTTCCCAATTCCCAGCATGTGGATGTTAAGGGTGTGTGTGGCCCAATGTGTTGTGAAGGTCTGTCCTGGAGAACAAACTCTCCTCAGTCACTGCTGAAACAAAAGGGGTGTAGCCAGGCTTATTTGCATACTGTCACCCTTTGTTTGCACCAGGGCCCCTTTCTCACAGGGACGTGTCTTTTCTCTTCTGGCAGGTTGCTCCAAAGTTTATACCAAGAGCTCCCACCTGAAGGCACATCAGAGGACTCACACAGGTAAGAGCACGGTGGCATCAGGGACCTCGGCCAGCTCACCTTCCTTGCACCCTGCCAGTTCCTGGTGGTGATCACGTGGCTGAGTTAATTACCTTAATCTGGGGTGGTGGTTGGGGCCAGGAACACGGTGGAGTCTGTGATGGTAATATCAAAAAAAGTCCAGTGGTTGCATTGGTTTACAGTGGCTGTACACTGCTGTGTGTTCTTGCTTGTCTTCTGGACCTTAGGAGACCTCTTGGAGGCTCTTGGGTTGATTGGGAGGAGGAGGTGCCCCCAGAACCTCTCCTCTTTTGAACCCTCCTAACTCCCAGCCAGGTCTGGTCCTGCTTAGCCTACAGAAAGGTTGTGTAAAGGCATGTGGTGCATCTCTGTGACCTCTGAGGAGACAAGGGGTATGACTCTCTTGACTCTTTGTCAAGAACCCCATAGCTCCTGAGGATAGGGCAGAATCCCTCCTGTCTCCACGCAGACTGCTTTGTGCCTGGTGCTTGTCCCTTAGCAGCCGCCAGTGCTGTGTCACTGGAGCTGCTGAATAAATGTCCTGAAGGACTCCAAAGAGACGTGCAGATGGGCTGTGCCCTCACTCCCCAGGGCAAAGGTGCCCTGGCTGGTGTGAGCAGGGTCACCAGCACACAGGGGCTCCCACCACGACCAGGGGGTAAACCGACCTCGGTGGCACTTGTGTGTTCAGGCACAGGTCTTCTCATGAAGGTATTTATTATACCTGAAACTTTATCAGATCCTCGGGTAGTCCAGGAACCATCAGTGCCCTCATAAATCTCTTTTATAGAAGGGCTGATCTTTACTGAAAGCAATTAAGCTGGCCCAGAGTTCACTTTTCTTTTTTATTAACAACGAACAAAAACCCATCCTGGGGCTGGGAGTCGGTTCCTGCCCTTGGCTCCGTTCCCTTTTCATCTTATCGGCCCTTCCAACAAGCCAGCAAAGAATTTTTTCTTTGTGCGTGAGGTAGAATCATTTTTTTTGGCAGGGCCTGGGTAGGGAGCGGGCTGGAGAACAACACGGAAGGGGTGGAAGAACAGGAACAGGAAGGACATTGTCCCGCCTGGGTGGTGATAAGCATTTGTCACAACAGCAGCTTGTGTTCAGGGCTGAAGATGAAATCTCTTCTCCCCTTCCTTTTGGAGGAGGGGTCTCAGCTCTGTGCCCAGAGATCTGAGGCAAGCACCATCCGTGCACGTTGTGGTGTAAAGATCCATCCAGGCACACGTGGGTGGGTTTTGAACCTGAGAAAATGCAGCCATTTCTCCAGCTTTCCCAGTGACTGGGCTGGAAATCCAAGTGTGTTTGAAAGGGAGGGGAAGGATTGGGCCAGAGTGGTCAAGAGAACCAGTGGTGTTGTGTTTTGGGTGAAAAGAAGGGAATGCAAACAGAGAACCACCCGTGTCAGGCTCAGAGCATCTGCATCCAGATTCTTGAAGCCTCGTGCTCTGCCTTTGAGGTCTCATCCCTGATGCTTTGTCCCATCCCAACTCCTGCCAGCCGGGAACGCTGGATGCCACCTCATCTCCACCACTTGAAGGGTTAACAGAGGCCCTTCCTCTCCATTCCTCAGCCAGCTGAGAAGAACACCATCTCCAAGATCTTTCCTTGTGGTTTGCCCGTTGCCATGGGCCGGGCTGTATTCATCTCCTGGAGACACCATTCATTTCCTGGGTGCCATTGTGAGATTAAATATCTAACCCTGTGGCTGCTCCCCCGCCTCCCGGGGGGCTGGGAATGCCACTTCGGGGCCTTTGTTTGAGCTTGCCCTGCCGTGCTGTCCTGGGAGATGGAGCCAGCTCGTGGGACAATGGAAAGCATTTTGGAGATCAACTTGTTATTGTTTGAAACCCTTGGTAGGGTTGACCCAGCCAGGTGACCTGGCTGGGACAACATCTGCGGCCGCGCGAGCGCGGATCCCACCTTTGTCTCACCACTCTGACTCAAACCCCGAGATCCCCACGTGCTCCAAAACACCCAACCTGCTGCCCCAAAAATCAACCCC